AAACACATAATACTATAACGCTTCAAATAACTATTGTTTAAAGTGTGTTAAGTCGTCATATTAAATTTTCGATAAGTGTGCGCCAAGTCGGCACTTCATTATTTATTGTTTGCGCTAACAATTGTAAGTCGGCAATTTAAATATTGTTTTATTTTCTGTTGGCCTTAAGTATGAAACATATTTTTTTTTATTACTAGTCATCATAACTTATTGTTACCAGTTCATTACAGGTTCCTACAAATTGTTAATAGTTAATTTTTTACCATAATTTTTACTTGTTTATTAGTAAATTTTTACTAAATTTCTTTATTTTTAATAGTCAATTGGTATCTCATGAATTCTTCTTTGATTGTGTTTATTATTGATTTATTGCTCTAAGAGAACAAAGAGAGTTATTTTTTATACATATCTTTATATATTATATATATATATATATATACAGGGTGATTTTTTTATCATAACCCACTCAATTGCTTGCAGAATAATAATAATTTAAACATTTTTTTTTTTTATTATCTTTAGTTACACATTATTCTTGATTTTTTAACTATGTAATACTTTTTAAGTTCATCCCTTATGCCTTGGAAGGGGGTCAACTTTGTTTTTTTAAATGGTAACACATATTTTTAATTTAATAAAATGTTTGAGTTTTTAATTTAATAGTAAATGGCATTTGAATTTTTAATATAACTTAATTCGTTTATTAGATATAATCATTTAAAGTTTCAAATTTTTGAGTTAATATATAGGTATAATACACAAGGGATTACAAATACAGGTAGCTAATTGATTTTTTATGACATCGATATTAGCAGGTACACAGCATTGTTATTATCAATGGTAGTAAGGCACATTGTTATGAGTTTATAAATACACTAACTGACAATACAGAAAGTATATCTATTGATAATCATAATTGATAATAAACAATCCGTGACTGAGACAGCAATGTCATAAAAATCCAATTAGCTACCTGTATTTACAATCCCATGTGTATTATACATGTATATTAACTCAAAATTTTGAAACTTTAAATGTTTATATCTAATAAGCTAATAAAGTTATATTAAAAATTCAAATGCCATTTACTATTAAATTAAAAACTCAAACATTTTATTAAATTAAAAATATGTGTTACCATTTAAAAAAACAAAGTTGACCCCCCTCCAAGGCATAAGGGATGAACTTAAAAAGTATTACATAGTTAAAAATTCAAGAATAATGTGTAACTAAAGATAATAAAACAAAAAAAGGTTTAAATTATTATTATTCTGCGAGTAATTGAGTGGGTTATGATAAAAAAATCACCCTGTATATATATATATATATATATTGTTTATTATATTTGGTGGCAAAGAGGCACCTAGTTAATATTATTGTTCGTTTTATCATTTGAATTTTAGTTTTTATACTTAATTTTTAGTGAATAATTTACCCTTTATTTAAAATATATTCTATAATAGCTGTACTTATTTTCACTTATATTTAGTCATTATACTTATTATTTGTTATCTGGCCATCTCATTTTCCCGATTAGCGTAGGCGATCCTTTTCTATTTAAGGTTCTTCCATTTAGGTCTGATGATCCTTTCCTTTTTTCTCATATAGTTCACTTAGAAAGAGTTAAAGGCGCCGGAGTAAGCGGTATATAATTTGAAACTTCACATAAACCACACATTTAGCTAATAATTAATAGTTATCTTGTACGTCTAATTAAATTAAAGATAACAGTGAGAATAGTAGAGGTTTTTTACCTCTTTAGAGGTTTATGATAGTAATTTTAATCACAGATAAATTTCAATCTATACCTATCTTTCCAAACCTGCTCCCGACTGTCTGGGTATTTGGTAATTTTAAATTGTAAATTAATATTTATTATGTTGACTAAAAATTGATTATGTAAATGAATATATTTTCCTTAAATAAATGTAGATCAACTTTATATAAAAGTAACAAGAAATAAATAAATACATTTAATTGTTTCAAAAGATGTAAGTGAATTCTTAAATATATTAAAACTATTTTATATTAATAATTGAAGTAATGATAAAATATTACAGTAATTTAATTGGCTAACCTCCAATAAAATAAAATTAAATGATAAACCAAGGAGGAAGAAAAAGACAATATAGTGCTAAAGTGCTACCTATTAAACAATTAACTTTTTATGATGAAACTTTCTTAGTCCACAAAATGAACTATAGATGGCAATAGTGTTACCATTATTGTTATGTTTTATATTAAGTAGGAAAAAAAAGGTATTATTTTTATTGTCTATTAATGGGGTGCTAGCCGTTAGTGTTATAACCAAAATAGAGGACAGGGACAAATAATATATATTTCAAAAATGAAATATACATATATGTATAGTATAATTGTATACCATACATAATATAAATATACAGAGGGTTCTAAAAGTAAAAAAAAAACCCAGCACAGGGGGGTCGCGGCACAGTGGTGACGTGGTATAGATGGATCAAGTATAATGATATCTGACAGTGATTAAAATCACTATCAAAAAAAACGCTTCGATGCAAATCTTTAGATAGTGTTTAATTTTAAAAAATTGGTGGATTATTCCAAAAGCTTCATAAACTGCTGGTTCCTTATTAATATCCTGATTAAGATAAAGTATGTCGAATGAAAAAGGGATTATTAAAAAATAGAATTTCCCATAAAAAAATTATATTGATCAATACACTTTTCAATAAGTTATAGCATTATAAAGTTAAAAATGTAAAAAATAAAATTGAGAATTTTCACACAATAATAGCATTTGGTAGCCATTTTCATCGTGAAGACAAAATAAAGTCCGAAATTTGTTTTTTACATAATAAAGTAGATTACATTAGCTTTAATTTAATATATATAAAAAAGTGTCAGACTTTCCGGAACACTTTCAAAATTTAAGTTGAAAAAGTAAATTTTTTGTGAAAAAGTTGTCATTTTGAATCCCCCCCTGTAGGCAGGTAAAAAGTCAGATTTATAAAAAAAATATACCAAATGATAGGTAAAGACATCATGCATCTACAAAAAAAAGAATTATATTGATCCATACATCTTTCGAGAAGTTATAGCATTATAAAGTTAAAAATATAAAAAAGAATTTTTTTACAAAAATCGTATTTTTTTTATTAAGTTTAATGTCTGTTTTCACCATGAAGATAAAATAAAGTCCGAAATTTTTTTTTACCATTATAAAGTATATTACATTAGCTTTAATTTAAGATATATATAAAAGTGTCAGACCTTCCGGAACACTTCAAAAAGTTAAGTTGAAAAAGTTCTATTTTCTATATGCATTTTTATGTTTTGAATCCTCCCTATATTAAGGGAAATGGTCCGATTTAAAAAAATAGTATGTCGAATGAAAGATCTATATAAATACTACTTCTCATAAAAAAATTGTAATGATTCATNGAAAAAGGGATTATTAAAAAATAGAATTTCCCATAAAAAAATTATATTGATCAATACACTTTTCAATAAGTTATAGCATTATAAATTTAAAAATGTAAAATACAAAATCGAAAATGTTCACACAAAAATAGCATTCGGTAGCCATTTTCTCCGTGAAGATAAAATAAAGTCCGAAATTTTTTTTTTTCATGATAAAGCATATTACATTAGCTTTAATTTAAGATATATATAAAAGTGTCAGACTTTCCGGAACACTTTCAAAATTTAAGTTGAAAAAGTAAATTTTTTGAAAAAATTGTCACTTTAATTCCTCCCCTGTGGGCAGGTAAAGGGTCAGATATGACAAAAATATATACCAAATGATATGTAAAGACATCATGCATCTATAAAGAAAAGAATTATATTGATCCATACATCTTTCAAAAAGTTATAGCATTAAAAAGTTAAAGTTAAAAAAAAAGAATTTTTTTACAAAAATCGTATTTTTTTTATTAAGTTTGATGTCTGTTTTCACCATGAAGATAAAATAAAGTCTGAAATTTTTTTTTACCATAATAAAGTATATTACATTAACTTTAATTTAAGATATATATAAAAGTGTCAGACCTTCCGGAACACTTTCAAAAGTTAAGTTGAAAAAATTAATTTTTTGTAAAAAAGTTATCATTTTATATCCCCCCCTGTGGGCAGGTAAAAAGTCAAATTTATAAAAAAAATATACCAAATGATATGTAATGACATCATGCACCTATAAAAAAAAGAATTATATTGATATTTTTATTTTTATTTTTAAAAAAGTTACGGTAGTTTTTTAGTAAAAAAAATTGAAAAAATTTCGAAAATTAGCCATTTTTAAATTTGTAATTTTTTTGGAGGTTTACCCCATTTACGGTGAACGATGGGATTTTTTTTCAATTTTTGAGGGCAATGTCTTCGACTAGATACGATTTGTGATCTTTTGACGTATCATTGAAAGAAATCGGTTCTGTGAGAGCTGAGAAAAAGTGGTAAGACACAAAAAAAAAAAAAAAAAACACATCTTAGTAAAACCAATACCTTCTCAGCTTCGCATCGAAGCTAAAACAGGTCAATTGTTACAAACAATAAGAACAATAGAAACCATTTTACTTACTGAACACTCTATATATATTCAAACGTAACTATGCCTCCCCTAAAAATATTATGGTTATACCACTGTTTACCGTTGACGACAACTCCACTGTAGTCATTTACTATTTAAAATTTCAATTAAAAAATAAAGCTTGTAATATATAGCTAAAAAAAATGTCAAAAATATTATTTATATTCTGTAGTTTTTCTATAAAACTATAAATGTAATCAAGGAATACTCCATTAATTTATTGTATTTTATTTTAACTATTTTAGTGTTATTTATTCAAATACGACTTATTATTCAAATTTCTCTCACTAAAAAAAAAACTAAATTAAATCTCAATAGGTACCATAGTAATATTTATATTTGTTTTTATTCTTATAATTATTTGGACTATTTAATTAAACATGAATGAACATTTTATCAATCGAAATAAGCATTATGGTTCATTCGTATATTTAAAATTATGAAGCAATCAATATACTTCGTTTTTTGTTACCATATATTTGCTATATCAGATACATATCCAATCAATAAAGTTCCTTTAGATGACTTTACTAAACGCCACAACGAAACCGTAAAAGATATTTTCAATAATATAAACTTTCAAACTCCTAATTATTTTGTTAAGTCTATAGAGTTTTAATTGCAACTTGGAACAAAAAATTTGGAAGCTTCATAAATTAACAGAAGAAGAGTTACACTCGTATGCAATAGCACAATGGAATTACAATATAAATTTAAATGAGGAAACTATAAAATGTGCAGTGAGTAATAAAAACATTATTTAAATTTTAATTACTTTAATAGGAAAATATAAAATTAGTGAAAAATATGGATCCCTAGTTGTTCAATAAAATGTAATGATTATTTTAACAATAAAGCACAAATATAATGTAAAGTTTATGTATTTCAATTCGTGTATATATTTAATTCTATTAAAATTTCAATTATATTTTATATTTAAAGTTAGTTAACACAGTTGTAGCTATGATGTGAAGCTGAGAAGGTATTAATTTTACTATAATGTGTTTTTTTATGTGAAATCAAAACTATCGATAAAGACAATGTAGAATCATTTAATATAAGTTTTATGATGCCTGATTTATGATTTTCTAAAAGAATAATTTTCATAACTTAATTTTTTAAAGAAATACTAATTATCTTAGTATAATGAAAATAAAAATATAACAAATTTAATAGCACTAAGTTCTTTTTAATATTTATTTTATCATGATCAAAATATTTTGTTTAATTGTGTTAATCGTATTTTTAGTAATTTGTAGCTAACAGTATTATTTTTAATTAGTGTTGAGATATTAATTTCGATTACTTTAGATAAATGCTTCGGTAAATTTGTTTTCATTTCAAAAATCTTTAATGACAATGGTAAGAAATATTTCAATGTTATATGATATTGATTATGTTGATTTGGTGAAAAATGTTTCATTTTTGAGTAACCCCAGAGTGGAACTATTGGATTTGGTCAATTATGAAAAGGTTTTAAAGCTAATGAAAAAACAAAAGAAAATACTAAAATTTAATTATTATTTATAGATTATAGCACTTAAGAGTCATATAAAGAACAAATTATACTATGGAGAAATTTGCGAATACTTAAAACCAAACCGACCTTGTGATGTGAGTTATAATGGTAATATGGCAATTATACATAAACAATAGGGAAAAAACTAAGCCTAAATGCAGTTCGTTGGCTGTTTAAATATTTGATAACCAAAAAAATATTACATTACAGTTTTTCTTTTACATTTAAATGCACTAATTAATACAAAATTAACTAAACGTTTATTATTTTGACATTTATGGATAAAAAGCCATAAGCCCATTTTTATTATATAGTTTATTATATATTTTAAAAACAAAACGCACAAAAAATAAATTAATTTATCATTAGTTGTTTTAAACTGCAAGTTATTGAAAATATCATAATTTGATATTTTCAATAACTTGCAGTTTAAAAAGAAAAATCAAAGTTTTTAAAATAAATGTAGAATAGGTTTTACAATTTTATAAATACAATATTTATAACTAGATAGTGGATTTATATGTATATTAAAATTTCTTTTGAGCTAGTTGGAAATGATCCTAGTTTGTATAGATTTTTTATTGGAGTATACAGTAGTCTAGAAATATTATTCATCTTTTAGAGGGGAATATACCACTCTAATCCTTCCCCACTATAACTACAGTTAGATCACATTACTAAACTCTCAAGCAAATTAATACAGATTTGTATTGGCTGATGAAATGTTTATAATAACTAAAAAAATGCATAAATTTTATGTACAGAGCTAGTTATAGGGCATATTTAAATGCAATTATGCATTTGAATTTGCTCTATATTTATGATAAATAAATATTTATCCGTTTTAGGCTCATTTAAAAACTAAAAATAATAAATTTAATTAATTTCAAGTGTTTTAACTTAGAACTAAAAGTTATTATGATTAACTCATCAAATCCAGCAGAGCTAAAATACTATTGGAAAGCTTGGCATAATTATACTGGATATGATGTAAAAACTAAATACATAAAATACATCAGACGACTTGACCATATTGCAACTTTAAATAGTAATATGTCCATTAAATAACTAGAAAAATATATTATTATTATTATTATTATTAATATTATAATTATTATTATTCATTCTTATGTATCAAAGATTTTTCAGATGGAGTTGCTTACAATGTATATTCAAACATCTATAAAGGATGTCTTGTTAACATTGATTATATTTATAAAAGCATTAAGCCATTATACGTGCAATTGTTTACCTATGTGCGCAAAATTCTCAGAGATAAATTTGGATCAAATATTGTTACAGCAAAAAATCCAATTCCTGTACATTTACTAGGTGAGCTTTTAGAATGTTAAAAATTATGAAATTATATATATATTTAGATTAAGGGGTTGGTTTGGTCTAGTGGTGGTAGAAACGTATGTTATCGCACACGGGATCCCGGGTTCAATCCCCATGGTGCCAACAAGATTTTTCTTGTAATTTTCTCATAGGTGGAGTTTAGTTTCTGGTGCAAGCTGGCCATAATACACGCCTCTTTCATCATTAGCTTAGTCAAGGACCATATTGTAATAAAAAGAAAAGGAGGAATGAGGGAGCAAGATGGTAAAGATGGGAGGAAAGGGTTATAAATTATATGGATTGTGTTAGATTCATTCTTATCATTTTAATCCTACCTCTTACCCACTCTATCCTAATTCTTAATATTACATAAATATAGTGCATGTCTTACGAATATACTTACCTTGATATCCAAATGGTCTCATAGATAGATGATAAATTGTGATGTCCCTTGTTGACGTTGATATTTTAAGTTAATTTAAATAAATAAAAATACTGGTATGAGGGGCAACATACTGAGTTAATTTCTATGATTTAAATTAATTATTTTAACAAATGTATAAGTCTTATAATTAAAATTAACAAAAGTAATATGAATTTTACATTATTAACATTTAATATGAAAGTGTAAGAATATGGGGAATAATTTAGAATTCGGAAGAACAGAAAAGAATATGGGGAACATAATAAAATAATTTTTTTTATATAAATACCGTAAGTATTTGATTTTCGTTTAATATGAATTTTTTCAAAATTTTACTCTTTACATGTCCACAAGAGGGATTTAAAATGGCAACTTTTGTACAAAAATTTATTTGTTTCAACTTAAGTTTTGGAAATGTTCCGAAAATACTACTTCTTTTAAACATATGAGCCGTTCGCTGCAATAATGACCTAAGTGACAAATCATAGTTTTGAGAAAACACGGTTTAAAGATTTAAAAGTGTATAATTTTAAGGAGAAGGGCAAGAATTAGAAAACTAAGTTTTTCAAATGTAAGTAGCAGTATCATACAATGAAAATTCATGATCAAAGAACTAAAGTTTTAATATTTTAATTGTTAAATAACCGTTTAAATATTAAATCACTTAGGTCGTTTTTCAGGCGAACGACTAAAAGTTATTGATTTTTTCAAATAATCAGTCATAAAATTATATTAATTATAATTATTAGTCACTTTTTATAAGCTATAAGGAACTAATGCTCATTAACTAAGGCCCAAACTACATCAGGTATTTTTTTAGGATTCGGCTGTTTGCCACGATTTTCTGTAGCTTGGGAAACGCCTTGTTTGCAAAACCTTAATACGCTCTTCATTCTGCCATCGCTGATTTGATATAAACTAATAAGGAACTCGGTATTTTGTTACGGGAGCCAGTTTATGACGTTTAACTCCTTCACGATGTGCACAACTCATTAAATAAGTATCCTGTTTTCCTTTATCTTGTGAAACATAAAAATTTCTAAAAAACTCTTTTTAAGAATCTCTATTAAAATTTGAAAAACATTGGACTCGACAACAATGTTCTAACTTTCTAAACTGTTTGCGAGATACATCATTTCCAGCTATATTTTTATACGCTTTGACGCTGTTACGTTTATCTTTTCTTTTGTTACGGGCCCATTTTCCACTTTTTAACTTTCTTTTTAACCCCGGATTGTCACTAGCCNTGAGATACATCATTTCCAGCTATATTTTTATACGCTTTGACGCTGTTACGTTTATCTTTTCTTTTGTTACGGTCCCATTTTCCACTTTTTAACTTTCTTTTTAACCCCGGATTGTCACTAGCCATGGAAGTTGAAGTTGTTGATGTTGATACATCCATAGCTGTTATTCTTCAAGTGGATAATATTAAACAATAGTTATTTATAAAAGCCTCTGTATACTAACGCACTATGCTAATCAGCTGTTACACGGGAATGCAACTGTGAATTGGCGCAGCGCTTTCATTTACGCGCCTATATTCATTTGTTCACCACGGCCTCAATAATTGATATTTTTTTATGAAATTTGGTAGGGGTACTTATGAATAGTTTATCTACCCGTTTCTAGTGTCGCCCGAAAAAAGACCTAAGTAACCTTAGGTCATTATTACAGCGAACGGCTCATATGTTAATCATTTGTTATCATTTATGTGCAAAGGGCTGCTGTAGTAAAAAAAACATGCTATTTTTGTGTTCAAATATTTATTTTTTATTCATATTAAAATAAGGGTTTGTCATAATAATAAGGCCGCCGATTTTTATAAATGTTTTATAAATGAATTTAACTCGCATTGAAAAATAATAAAAACGACTTCGATTTTTTTAATTATCTTAAATTGTCTTTTTAGCTACAAATTAATGTTTGTTCGATGGGCGCGTCGGTAATGATTTTTTCTTAATTCTTATTTTTTTTTTTTGTATATAAATATTCGTTGTTCACTTATTAGTAATAATCTCAAAAAAGAGGTGATTTTGAATTGTAGATTTGAAATCAACGCAAAAATGGATTTAGAAAAGTATATTTTGGGTCTCTGATACCAACTCCTTGTAGACCAGTAAATTTATTCATAAGTAGTGAACAGAGTTTTTTTAAGTATTGAATCAAGCCCATCAGCCGTCCTCATATCGCATTCAATTACATCCCTCCTACTTATTTTGGGTCTTCTTCTACCTTTTCTTTCTTCAACATTCATTTCTATAACTGTTCTTACAGCTTCCAATTTCTCTCTTCTCATACATGACCAAACCATTTAAGTCTATTTTCTCTCATCTTATCCACGATTTATGCTACACCTATACTCCCTTTTATATGCTCGTTCCTTATTCTACCTTTTCTAGTCACTCCACTCATCCATCTAAGCATTCTCATCTCAACTACACTCATTCTCTGCTCTACTTTCTCATCAACCGCCCAACACTATGAACCATACATCATAGCTGGTCTTACTACAGTCTTATAGAATTTACCTATCAGCCTCATTGGAATTCTTTTATCGCATAATACACCAGTCACTTTTCTTCACTTCAACCATTCGCATTTAACCCTGTTTTTTACATCCTCGTCATAAAATGATCAATTTTATTTACAAAAATCTACTATACTAAAGGGTGATTGGTTCAACATAAGTCACTGAATTATTTTTAAAATGAATACAATATTGAAAAATTAATATTTTGCGTAAAAAGTTACGTATATCTCTTAATTTATCAGCTAATAATTACTTTATAGAATCAGCTTTTACGACTCAAAGGGGAATTACTTTATTTTTATAAATGGCATTATACACAATTAACAAGCTTAAAAGTATATAATAATTTAATTAATAAAATGACAAGTCGATAACAACTTGTGTACCAGTGCTATTTTATTCTCATAATTATACCTAGGTGTGATGAAGAGTATGACCGGGAAATAACTTGAGATTAATAAATATACAAATAGCAGCACCCCTTCATACTTTCAGTCATTACTTTGAATTGTTAATAATTTCTGAAATACTGGTTCAAACGTTGTTATCGATCATTCATTTTCTAATTACATAATTTCCTATTTTATAAGGTAGTTAAATATAAAAGTTGCCATTTAAAAAAATAATAGTTGGTTCCCCTTTAAGTTGGGTGATTCAAAAAAGAAATTATTAGCTGAAAATTTTAATAAAATTTACTTTTCAATATTATACATATTATATTATAATATATTACATATATTATTATGTACTTATATAGTGAATAATCAAGTGGTTTGTGATAAATTGATCACCTTGTATTCTTATTTTTTCAATGATTGTGGAGTGTTTTAAATTATTGAATTTTTCCATAAACATAAATGCTATTACACATTTTGGGAACCACAAAAAAAAATGTTATTTTAAAAATAATTAATATAATTAAAACAATTATTTTCATATCAAGGTGATCCCTTGAATTATGTTTGTAATTTACATATTTTAATTAGTTTTCTAAAAAATTAATAATAATAAATGATTAAAAAAAGGCATTCCGAAGTACTTGGAAGACTTCTGATAGGTATTTTTGTATTTTTCATATTTTTTACTTAAAGTATTGGAATATGTATTTATATATATATAGGGTGATTTTTTTATCATAACCCACTCAATTACTTACAGAATAATAATAATTAAAAAATTTTTTTTTATTACTATCTTTAGTTACACATTATTCTTGATTTATTAACTATGTAATACTTTTTAAGTTCATCCCTTATGCCTGGTAAGGGTGTCAACTTGGTTTTTTAAATGGTAACACATATTTTTAATTTAATAAAATGTTTGAGTTTTTAATTCAATAGTAAATGGCATTTGAATTTTTAAT